CAGGAATGCTCATGTGGTTTACATTATGAACGTGCTTCAGAGCTTCCAGAAATGAGAGCCAAAAACTGAAGATAACTTGGAAACTGGAAAGCAGGCAAATCATAGAAAAAAGATTGACCAGATGTAGAAGAAAATACACTATTAATTAATTGCAAAATAAAATTAATCAATATGCATATTTTGTATCCATATGCTAAAAAGCACAGGTTCTGAACAGCCCAGTGATAAGTCAATTCTTTAATTACTACACAGCCTAAAAAAGAGAAATATGATCTTATCTCTGGCTCAAGACCGGAATATAGAGGTGAGAGTAGGAGGAAAGAGAGGGCTGGAAAGTGTTTATGCTGACACACAGAGTAAAGAACATTCTAGTCTTCAGTGTCTCATAGAGCTTCAGAAAAAAATTCACATCTTTTTCATTTTGTACTTTTTTTCCTGAAACTTTATTTCTGACACAGCTTTAGTAATGAATATAGCATGAACTACTAGCTTTATGCTTTACATAATTTGGAAACTATGATTCAAACCTGATATCATATGGCATAAAAAAAATGGTTTGGAAATATTATCTGCTGTGTACCTGGAAAGATTTTTAAGAATTCCACCAGAAGAGTGTTTCAATGATAAAATAAGTCACACAGTGAACTCATATTATGTCATCTTTGCATCCTCAGTCTTGATAAGAAAATACTTTCCTGTTTCACAGTGTAGCCAGATGGTTCCTGAAGCTTCAAGGACGAAAGCAAGTCCCCTATCACAGTAAAAACTAAAGCAAATGAAACAGCATTGAAATACAGACACTAGTAGTGTCTCTATAACAGAAGTTTTAAGACATATACAGAGAAAAGACTGCAAGCCTAGCCCAATTAAATAAATTTGCAAAGGAAAGTGTATTCAGTTTTCAAAGTTAATGTTTCTAGAGAAAATAGGGAATGTATAAGGAACTTTGAAATGCATTAAAATCATAAAATAGGGTTTCTGATATTCTCTGAAAGAAGCATTTAGTTGCAAACAATGTTCTGAAAAATTCAATGATAGCTATACACAGTGTTATAATAACATGGAAGTCCCTAGAAGATAATGCAAACTGGACTTGGTTTTTTAACAGTAAGACCTTCAGGAAGACGGATACCTATATATTTATGTTTCACATTTTAAAGCAAAGATCTAAAATCTGCATTTATTTTTGATCAGTCCTAAAGCAGGATGAAAAACAGTTGGACCCTCTTAAGAAATTAATTTAACCAGCAGGAGGGAAATGGAGAGGTTTCCACTGACTTCTAGGAACTAGTGTGGATTCATACAAACTTGTAACACAAAAATAATGCTGTATGTCCCTCCCTTCTCCCATCTGAGTCAAACAGTAGAACTATAATGACAATATGATCAGAACTACTATATTTTCTTCGAATATGTTTCACTATTTCTTTCTTCTGAGCACTATTCTTACTCTTGGCTGCTCAAGAACCTCCTGTCTGTTCTCCTAGGATTAATTCCTCTTGGCACTGTCTGTCACTTGGCCACAAAAAATTGCCTCCTAATGTATTTGTTAGATGTGAAAACTGATACTTATGAATGAAGTTAAAGAGAGGTTTGGTTCAAGAAAGAGTATGGCAATACCTATTCTCTCATGCAGGTAAAAGACCAAATATATTTGTGCTGCCAACAGGGCTTCAAAGTGATGGTACTCAGACCATCTAATGGCCAGAATGGATCTGACACTCATTCTGAACTTGTGAGTAGTGAGCAGAGATTAGTGGGTACCATGAATTTGTCAGGAGAACTGTGAATGTATTTCTTCTGGCTCTTTCTCCCATTATTTTTGGTCTGTGTAATGTAGAAGAAAATAGAGCACTGTGAGAATTCACAATATTATATTCAGAGCACTGAAACCTTAAAGATATTATTTACTCTCACATTTATTGAAGCCTTATATTTGCTTATCCACCTCCAGAATGACTGGGGGAATTACACAGCATAGCAGCACTTTGTCTGATGCACTCACATCCAAGATAAGAGTGATTTTGTACACGCTACGAAAATCTCTTCCATGGAGCTGCATGTCCAAGAGCAGAATGAGACAGATTTTGGTGTGTGACCTCAGATGTCGAGCAGTTTAGACTCAAGATTAATGTTACTTTGAAAGTTTAACTTAAATCTGGGAATATTTTGCTAACAGCATGAAAAAGAGTTATGGAGAAATGGTATAGCTATAACAGAATTTTTTTATTTGCCAGAATACAAATGGCCTCACAAAATGTAGGCACTACTAAATCCTTGTGAAATCTCAAGTCTGCTGAAGTCAGTGGAGACTGCTGCTGTCTTCACTAAAAACTTTTTGTTAGCCTGGAATTTGTTTGGGGTATTTGTGGAGAGATGATTTTTCACGTAGGACTAGAAACTGGCAGAACCTCAACTGAAGCTACTGAGTCCAGGCTTGAAAGACTCTAAAGCACAGCCTTTAAAAGTGTCTAAAAGACCCCCTATAGTTGAGGACCCATGATTGCCTCATCTTTTTTTTTTTTTTTTTTTTTTTTCTGATGAAAAATTAAAAAACAAATGTTCCTTCTCTCAAAATAAATCACTATGGCCATCAGAGAAATATTACTAAATGCTGCCTCTGTATTAATCTGAGGCATAGCTTGCTTTTAAAAGATTTTGCACCAACATGAGCTATTTTAAATTAAAGCTAACCCAGAAAAAGAGAAGAAATGTGGGGGTTTTGGAAACAATGCGCAAAACAGACAGCCTTTATTTAATCAAAATAGGCTAGTTCTGTCTTAATGGCCAATAACCCTGACTTAGCATTTCCTCTCTTCCTTGTGAAACTACCAGCACTATCTACAAGCTGACAGTCTGAAATTATTTTATTATTAACTTCTCATAATTTAAAACATATTTTTTGTCCATCTTTTTTTAATTAGTCATATTTCTTTTCCAGTGTGCTACTAAAATTAACACCTGGAAGATAATATTCCTTTCCTTGAGTATCTGTGTCTCTTTGACAATACCTTTGGTTGTAAATTAAACAGGTCCTTAGAGTGAAAGGTGTGGCACAGTTCATATTAACATACATAAGTGCATTTCTGTGGCTTCATGGAAAAGAACCTGGGATTCCTAGGGGACAACAGGCTGAACGTGAGTCAGGTGCACAGCAATGGAACAAGAGGCAACAGACACAAGAGGAAACAGGGGAAATTATTATTACATCTTAGGAAAAAAATGTTACAATGCAGGTGACCAAATAAATAGTCACAGGTTGCCCAGAGACATGGAATCTTCATACTCAGAGTTGTTCAAGATTCAGCTTAACACAGCTTAACCTGAGCAGCTTGATCTGATCAGACCTGTTTTGAACAATGTTGGACTAGATGACCTCTGAAGACCCCTTCCAGCCTTAATTCTATGATTCTATAAATCACACTAAAAGAGTATGCATTTAAACTGCCTGTTGGAAATGGCTTCTGATCTATGCTATCCCATGAACCATGTTCTGAAAGAGTTGTAACTGGTCCAGCATTATGCTGCCAAGGGGAATGATAAGCATTAGACTGCATAGGTCACTAGCCAGTGCTCAAAACCATGTTCTGGCAGTATCTGATTCGGTAGCCTGGACACAGGCTGTGTGTATCACAGCTGGCCTCTTTGCTCTCCTGCTCTCAGAGCGAGCTGAACAGGAGCAATTAGGAGCTGAAGAAGTGTTTAAGAGACTGAATCATCCTATCAGTTTGAGCTGTGTTAGTGCAGACCAGTGTCTTCAAGCAGGATAAGATATCAGTGGTCAATGCTTCTGGACTCCAATCTAGCTGCAGCAGCTGAGCAAATCAACCACCTGACATTTTAACACTGTGGTCCCACCCCTAGCAGACATGTAGGGAAGCATATCCAACAGAGCTTCCTCCAGAACTTTTTAACCTGTTAAGGAAGAAGCATGCCTCTTTGCCAAGGAGAAGACACTCCTGAGGAAACCACCAGGCAACAGTAAGAAGTGACAATGTCACAGGCACAGAAGATACAAAGTTGGGAGTCAAAACAATGGAGATCCCTCCCTACACTGTGTCATCAAGCAGAGCATGCTTGCTGCTCAGCATGATATACTAGACTTCTCTTGTTGCAGCTGTGTAAATCTGTCCTCTCGGGTGGCTTGCACTTCACAAGAAGGAACAGGGACTGCAACTGGATAGTAGCCATGAAATACAGGAAAGGGAAGACTTTTCCCCCTCCTCTGCCTATGCATCTCAACGAGGGTCAGTCTCAGCCTGCTTCCAAACTTTATACTCTTGGCTGAAAGAGACGAACCAAAAGCACAAGAGAGTCTAATTACTGTCTACATACTCACCAGAAGCATGATGATGGCTTGGATTCTCCTGCATGTGCAATTCAAGCTATATCTTTCAACATGATATGCTTGGGAGAGTTGGTGGAAAAACACAAGCTGTTCTCATTAGTAAAACCTTTCTATATTGCCAGCTACAGATGTGGGACAGTAAGACAGGACACCAAACAACCACAGCCTCAGCCATAAAATAAAAAGAAATTGTTTTCTATTTTATAAAATATTTTATGACACTCTTTTATAACCAGAAGCTGATGAGAGAGGAGGGGACTGTTCCTCATGTGGAGTCTGAAATGTACATTTAAATCAAGTTATCAGGCAGGTTTAAAAATATTGTGCAAATTCAGAAAGTTTGCTTTATTTTCAGAAAACACATTTTTCACTCTGATTCAGCCTTCACATGGCATTTTTATTACATCTCACTCTTTTCATAGGGAGATTATATTATGAAAATTATCTTTATATGAATTCACACAACAGAGGGGAGATGCTGTATTTCTCAATGAGATACTAAAAACCATGAAAAACAATTCCACCAAGGACTAAAAAGAAGTTCAGAAATATAAAAAGAATCTTTATAGACAAATTGTTGAATTAAAACATTAAAAGGAAAAAAAAGACCTTTTCTCAACTGATTTCAAAAACAGAAACAGGAATGATGAACACTAGAAATCAAAATAAAAAGGAAGGAAAAATCTGAAAAAGTAAAGTGATTTCAACTACCAGCAACTGGAAGGAAAAAATCTCCACTCCAGAACTTCTTGAGTCTAATATCACATTACCCTCAATTCAGCAAAGTTCTCACAGATCTCTCAATAAATATCAGTCCTGTGCTTACCTACCCTTAAAATCAGTGTGATTTAGCCATCTGTCTAAATACTTTACTGCACTGGTACCACTATAATTAAAATATTTCAATGAACAATAAATATGAAAGAGTAAATTATAGCTAAGCTAACAATAACATAGAAAATCTCTGTTCTACTAGTATAATAGCTGTAAAACAGTTTGGTATCTTGGCTAACAGGAGGAAGCCCAACAAAGGGAACATTATGCAAAAAGGCAATTTACTTCTCAGGAATTTTCCAGTTCCCCTTTGCTGTTGCTGCAGTTATACCCTTTAGAATTATGCCTTTCTCAAGCACTTCATCTTCAAAGAGACTGCAGTGAAATCATTGGTTTGAATCTTTGCCCATTAAAAGTAATTTTATGTTGTCATAACTTCACAGAAATCAAATGAGTTACAACACTGTAAAATTAGTATAACATCATTATTTGTTGCCATAGAAATAATTACTGCTGGATAATTTTGCATAAGGGTCACACAGAGACAGTAACAGGCTTAATTTTATGAGATCTAGCCTGTTTATCCAGCTTCTTTGATTAAGGTCAGAAGAAAGTGAACATATGATCCTTGTGGGTCCCTTCCAACTTACAACATCCTATGATTCTATATGAACAAAAGCATTATTACCCTATTTATAAGAACTGGCAGTTTATGTAATTGCTCTGCCTTATTATAGACAACATCGGGGTCTTCTACAAAATAAGCACTGCATGACCTTTCTAGGCTGTACCAAAAGCCTTTCCTGCACTAGTCTTCCCCTCAGCTTTTCTCCAAAAAGCCATCTTTCTGCCACAACCTGCTGACTACCATATGGAAGAACTAGACCAGTTCTGAACTGCTGGCTGATGTCGAGACAGGGCTGAAGGTCTCCACTGTTAAATATAAGAAGTTAGCTACAGAATAAAGTAAAAACACAGGGTTCTCTTCTCCATAAATTGCAGAATGCTCACTGTCCCTTGTGATCAGGAATGCAGAAAGAGGAGGCCCATACCACTCACATGTACAGCGTCTAGGACCAAGGCACTTCAACCTGGCTATGACCAAGATTAGAAAGTGTGGTGGCAAAAATCCAAATGTCCATCAAACTCCAGGTGTTTATTAACCTGAAGATGAGCAGGTGACACCATTCATGGGGAATTTAGGGGGAAAAATTCCAATACAGTCAAAAAGAAGACATTAAAAACATGTAAAAATTAGCTTCCATACAGAAGGCAGCATCACAGTATTATAAATTAGAAAAGGAATATATTTACCTTCATTTTTCACCACAACTTAATTGAAAATTAGAAGGCTATTCATCTGATTAGAAGATTACTCATCTGATAATAATGTTGTGTAAATCTTTATCTTAATAAAATTACTTTATTTTCTTGATTTTAGAGAAAATACATTTATGCATTGCCCAAATTCTACAGTAATTTCAGTGGAATTACTTCTATACATAAAGCTGTGACAATGCTTAAATTCATAATAGTGATCTCAAATACAGATTTTGCTATGGGGATGTGTTTTATAACAAGGTCCCAGGTTAATGCCAGAAATCCAATGAAGGTCCAGATTTCTCTGAAGTTCAAGTTGCATTAACATATCCAAAAAAGATCATGAATATGTAAATCTTGTTCAAGTGAAACTGGAAAGTCATATTTAATAAAGACCTTCTACTGTAAATAGTAACCTAGTATTATGCTAACAATAACTTTCCAGTGCCTGTCTAATAACGAAACAAAAGTCTCCCCATGGAGACAGGGAGGAGGACTTACAGGTTTAAGTGGACACATGAATACGCAGATTTTGTAACCAATTCCTAGACAGACTGTAAGTATCTTCACTTGTTCTACAGAAGCAGAAAAAGGTTGACTAAATTTTGATATTATCCTTCACCTTTTCTTTACATCAGCAGTTTCTACAGGCATTGTTTTACATTCAATATTAAATTCCCTTGCAGTTGTCTTTGTTATTCATTGATTAGCTAGAAAGCAAATTCAGATCATTGCACTGGATTGCATGCTCATTATGTGCCATTTAACCACATATTAAACATATTTATTTTAAACATATAAGCAAATGGACCAATTGGCAGTGCTGGACACTAGTGACATCTGCTCCTACCAAATGCATTAAACACAAACATAGTCCACGGCTCCCTATTACTCGTCTGGTATTTCTCAACCTTGATTGAGCAGATGGAAGGATACTCCACCCTACCTCTGTCTTCTCTGCTGACCAGCACAGAGATATGAGTCTCCAGAAATGACAGAATGCAAGTGACATAACTATAATAAATCAACCATGCTGGGAAGCATATCCATTATGGAATGGAAACTCTTAAAACAAATGCAAAACATCTTCATTTTACCTTACCCTTTGACCTTGAGCTCCATCTCTTCCAGGTGAACCTGATGCTCCTGGAACACCCTAAGTGTTATAAAGGGATGGCAAATGATGAGATCAAGTTAACAAAATCGAACTAAATCACTTTCAGTGAAACTGTATAACATGCTTTTGCATAAACATTTCGGATAAATGTAACTAAGGAGTTCAATAATGGGTGGGGCCATAGAAAAGATTCAGTAAATCAGGCATTTCTGTGAAATGAGAGATGGTTAAACACACGGTGTTAAAATGCACAGGCCTCACACCCCCTCACTACAATCCTCTGTTAAAAAAACCTGACAATTTGGTCAAGTCCGGCTTCCTGTGCCACTAAGCTGAGAAGAAAGCTTGATTTCCTACATCATTCCCATGTCTTGTCAGTGTAACTCCACTGCATGACATCAGTACCTTAACCTAAAAATACAACTGCTATTTCTCTCTCTCATTGCTAAAATGGAGTCTGTTACCATATCGTTTGAAGTCAATGCAGCGGTATCAAAGTGGAAAACCTGCCTGAGCAGGATTGCAAGTTATGTCTAGCAATTCCCCGTTGTTCAGATGAAATGTCACTCCCTGGCTCCTGAAGGCTGCAGAGCAGCAGTCTGGGACCATTACTGCAGTGGTCCAGAAGGCTAACAAACCTGATTTATGAGGAAAGGCTGTGTGAGTTTACTATCCCTAGCACATATGACCAAGGGGGGTAACAATTTGTTGGTAACAATCAACAATACTGGAGGGATATAATCTGCAGAAGGGAAGTGTATTAAAAGGGAAGAGAAAATGATCCTGGAAAGTAGCAATGAATTGGAATGTGCAATCTCCAGACTAAATAGCAGACACCAAACTCTGTAAGATTCGCTGAATACTACAGCTTAAGATACCGATCTTGTGAAAGAAAGTAGATGCTAATTATTCACCGTGAAAGCAGAAATCTAAGAGTGGATAGGCTTTGAGTTTATAGAGACCCAATTTCAGTGTTAAACAAGGTCAAGTTCCTGGTTCTTCGTGCCCTCCAGGTCACTGCACACCAGCATATACTAGATTCCTGATTCTAAACCTCTCTTCAAATTCACCCCCAAAAGATGCTTCTCAGCAGTTTTGAATACGTGCCCTAAATTCACAATGATGTCAATTCAACATTCAAACTTAGTAAGTGACAGGTTAAACAATAACTTAGGGAATACCTGCAGGCCAGGAAAACCAAGATCTCCCTTCTCTCCCTTTTCACCTGGTGGCCCCTGCAAATTACGAATCACACATAGTAAACCAAATACATGGTTATTTTCCTATTTTTAATAGTTCCTTTCAGTTTTTTTCGAAAAAAACAACCAAGCAATCAATAAGAAAATATTCTATTTTCCTGCTGAAAGCAAACCTACAGACTCTCTCTGCAAATGAAGAATTTACAAATATAGAAAAATAAAGAAAATAAAATTCATTTTAAAAGACTTCAGAATTAACCTGACAAAACTATAGCCATTATGTTACCAAAAAGGTATTTATTTTCTTTTCTCCTCAAAGGAATCTGTTTCTCTTCAGGTTTCAGAAGTATTTCCTATAATGATGAAACCAATGGGTTTCTGTGGAAACTAGACATGTTTCTACAGTACATATGCATGACAAAGATACACTTTTCTAGATAATAAACTAATCTTAATTAAATTTTATGCAGAAACACAATTTCTCTATCAAATAACTATTCTTATAATTAATTTACCCTGTATTCTTCTCTGATGACAGCATCATCAAGAATATACAGTTTTGGTAAATCACTTCATTATATTGTACAGCAGTATCACACAGATGCAGTAAAAAGAAGAAAGTGTATTATACTGTAGTAAACATAAATAAAAAAGTCTAGCAAAAAAGATATGTACCTTATACCTTTCAAGGCTTGTGTGTACCCATCTACTAGAGATGTACATAAAACAACATTAGTGCTGCTGGTTCATTATTCTACCAATGTCTTTATGATGAAATTCTGAGACCTGTTTCACAATAGCATTGCGAACTCTAATCATCATCTCTGATGATAGACTCTGTAAGTGTAGTGAATGCTATTGTTTAATTTTGGCAGCAAATATGGTGTTCTTGCTCAGGTACACCTTTCAAGTCAGAACTGATCTGCAAGGAGCAATATCACAACCAGAAAGAGATAAAATATTAACATTTTCATCTGAGGCCATGTTACAAGCTCCACTGCATTTTTTTTTTCATTTGTCTCCAGGTTTGGATGTTAAAACAGGGTCATATTCAGCCTGCAATCAAATCCCTTCAGCTAACTAAAATTTCAGATCCAAACAGAAACAGGAGGGTTGGCATTGAAGCCATGTCCACTATAGTTAAATACAAACCTGTAATTTCACCTCAAATATTGAAATTCAGATTCTAATCAGAATACCAAAAGATATTTCAGTCTAGTCTGAGATATGTGCTGTTTAAAACATTGCAGGAAAGAACCCTATTGATTTTATGAGTCTCACTGGAAGCCCTTGAATAGAAAGTCCACTGGGTCCTTGTGGTCCTGGAGGTCCTTGCGGTCCAGGAACACCAATTTCACCTCGAGGTCCATCTGGTCCCTAAAGTAGCACAGGACATAAGTTAAACTCTTATCATATGGAAAAAGGCAGCTTCTGTTAGAAGAATTAAATACCAGTAGACTCAAAAACATCTGAAATATGGGTGAACATTTGATTGAGCAGTTAGGGTTCAATTTAAAACTGTCTGGTTCCTTTATAAATACAAAAAAAATATATGGTTTATGCTGTGACAGCTGCATTCTGAATTTTATATCTTTTATCAAGGAACAAACAGGACAAGCAACTGTTATGAAAAGAGACACACCAAATGCCAATGGTATTTCTCTATGATTTTTTCTCGGCGACATCAGAGACAATCTGGAATTCATTTCAAGGTCTATATGCAGCAGAGAAACCAAGAACCTGTGCATCTGACAACTGTAAAGTGCTGTACAAAGTACCTTTGGACCTGGATCGCCACGATGACCTTTGGCACCTCTGACACCTGGACCACCCTGTGAAGCACAAACACATTACTTGCTGAAAACCAAAACCATCAAGTAAACAAAAATGAAATCCAGAGAAGCCTAAACACTTTTTTCTTCTTCCTGAATCAGTGTTCAGGAATCAGTGAATATCCTGTCCATATCCTTCCACTGGAGTAATTAAACTGAGAACATACTTAAGTGTAGCCATACACAGGAACAGATTTAAACACAGATGTGACTACATTCTAGAGCCAAGAATGCACACCATGTAAGCATCAAAATAACCCTCAAAGCTACAACAGGGATGGAAATGTATACATCGGGTCATGGGTTGCCCTCCAGTTGCCGAAACCTTCTGCACATTTGTCCTCACCAAAATCACCATGTTGTTAAAGGCTGAGTTTCCAATGACTCGAGAATATTTGTCAGTAATGATAACTCCAGGATCTACTAGACTTACCATGGTTTAATTTAGCGTTACTCTTCAGTAAAATACTCTCTTGCCAATTTTCCTCTTTTTTTCCTTCTTCAGTGGTGTCTACATCTGTTAATCATTTATTAACCAACTGTTGCCTTTTTTATTAGTATCATCTGAGACACTGGAGTTGCATATATCTATGGATGGCTGCCATGAATGTGTTTTGCATATACATGCTGCATGTGCTTTGTCCTCTAGAACAGCATAAATAAACATTTCTTTTTCACTTTTTTCGGATCAGTTTCCCTCTTACCCCACCTGAGTATATTGTTTAATCTCTTGGAATATGAGCTTTACATGGATTCCGCCCTTCTTTGTACTCAAAAAGGTCCTTGTATCACTAGGCACCATAATTGAATAGCATTCTTTAGAGGCTACAGTAAGTACTTATAAAAATGACAGCAGTTACGTTAAAAACAACAACAAAAAAACAACCAGAAAATATGCTTATCAGATTAAATGCACATGTAGAATTTATGAGACTTCAAATATGAGTCTCAATAACAGAAATGTTTGGAAATACCAGAGTACTCCCGCTTTTAAATGAAGGTATCATGATATAGTCTTCATATGTGTGATCACAGAGCAGTTTTCTACTCCTTTTCTTAGCTCCTTCAGTCTCCTCACTTCCACCCCACAGCTCTATGGCCATGACCCATTACATTACAATCAGCTCTGACCCTAAAATCTCATCCCACGCTCTCCACAGAACCATGCTCCAGTTGCCAGTTCCCAAATTTCAGGTCTTCACGTTTCTGCATTCCAGTCCAGTAGCTCCCTCTGCCCTTTCTCCTGCCTCTCTCTCAGATTAAAAATTCCTACGCAGATACTCAGCAAATTAAGTACGACTTTTAACATAAACAAAATCATACAGTTTTCTCCCATTTTGTTCTCAGAAACAGATTACATTTTTCCTGAGTAAAAATATATACTTAAAAATAGTCTGATGCTGAGCCATTAAAGCGTACACTTTAAGATTCACACTGAGTTTGGTACACTTATCCATCCTTTGAACCCAGTAACCTTTGCTCGGTAAAAACACAAGTTCCAGAAAAGCATTGATTTGAGATAAAAACATCACAAGAGTCTTCCTCATTTTTCTCATAAACTTGTTTTGGTGGTTAATCCCCAGTACTACAAGGTGGCCTTTTATGACGGGGTTAGAACATTG